CCGAAATATCCGAAAGTGGTCTAATTTTGTGTATTATAGCCTTCAAGTTTGGCGTCCGGAGAACTTTTTTAACCTGTCAAGATTATGCTTTGAGGTGTTTTGAGGGGTTCCCAAAGGCCCCTAAGAGGCCTACTTGGTGCCTGAAATCCATCTCATTCATATCTTGGACACCCTTCAATATCATATCCTAAAATGTCTTGCCTTGGCGTTGTTACCTTGCTTGGCGTTGCATTGGTTTACTTTGGCTCTAAGGAAAACCAAAACATTACCCCTTATTCTATAACCTATGTAATACATCCATGCATAAAATCATAATGGTACAGTAAGTAGTGAATTTGGATATAATTGATAACCTGATGGAGGATTCTTGTTTTTAGGACCTTGGTATGTCAAGTTGGTGATTCAAAGCATCTCTTCCCTTGACTATAATGAATATTATTGTGAACTAATGTCATTTTTGGGACTTTATAGACTTATTGGTAAACCTCTTATGGTTCCAAACCAACTTATCCTAGGGCACCTCACACTTTCACTTTAATTTGGGTAAATTTTCCGAAATTGATCCTAAAGTCTGGATTAGTAGCCTTCAGTTTTGGGTGGTTTTCAATATCTTCGAACATGGGTGTACTTTTTATGAACCCCACAACATCTCGGAGGCCATTTCTTGGTGCCGTTCACTTTGTCATTAAGATGTCGATCTAGCCGTCTACTCACACGTCTCCTTTAACTCAAGATCACCATGTGTCTCAATGCGGCCGATTAGTGACTATACACGGTTCTAAACAACATTATATGAACCTGGGAGGCTGGGATACATCCTTTACCATCTTTTAAGTTTTCTACACCAGGTATTCTTTGAGGGGCTGCCTGGAATGGGTGTAATGGGAGGGGAAAAATTACATGAGTAATAATTCTGGATTTTTTTAAAGTTTGGATCTAGGGTAATTAATCAGTGGGGTAATCTATTTCCCTAAAAATGGGGTTAATAATTACCCACCTCCCCCCTAGCATAACAATTTCCCCCGTAACAATTCCTCTTCTATACTGCATCTTCTTTTCCCCTGCTATGTACTCTCTCCTTCACCTTCATATCCCTCCACCCAATTGAAGCTGTTGCCACCATTATAGCCGCCTGGTGGAAGCTGCTAGCCGCCATAGCTCATCAATTCCGGCGAATTACGAACAAGTATCTTGAATCGGACCCACTGGTTGAAGAGATAGTTGAACAAATGGTTAGGGCTTTTGATCCTTCAAGTGAGATGATGCTCGTGGTGGTCTCAAGTTTATCAACGACATGGTGGTTGCCGCCGATTGCCTTGAATTGGTGGTCTTTACCCTAGGATTGTTGCCAAACCTCAGAAAATGAATTATTACTCTCTAAATCAATGCTAAAGTAGAATCTACCCCGTTAGATATTACCCCCTTCATTATTTCTGGAATTCCAGGCATGCCCTGAATGTGGTCAGATTTTCTGTATTATAACCTTCAAATTTGGCTTGCGGAGAATTTTTTTGGACATGATAAGATTATTCTCAGGATCCCAAAGGGACCTAGGAGGCCTACAGGGTGCCATTAACCATCTCATTCATGTCTTTGTCCACCCTTCGTTATCATGTCTTATGATGCCTTGACCTTGGCCTTGTTGCCTTGAGTTGTGGCTGTGTTGTCTTGGCTTTGCCTTGCCTTTCCTAGGCTTAGCATTGCTTTGGCCCTAAGGCAAGCCAAGATGCTACTCTCAATATTGCCAAAAATAGGTTTATTCTAAGGATGTGGTGTTTTTATGCTCTTTTCGCCTTAGGACATGGGTGTGCATTTGCTTGGGCAGCAGCACCTAGCCCCCATGCTTAAATGTGCCTTGGCTATGGTAGCAGCAGCAGCAGCAGCACTTAGGCCATGCGTGCCTTGGCTAAATAAGTAAAATAGTGACGGCAGCATTAGCTCCCTGAAGGCCTTGGGCAGCAGCTGCGCCTTGGCCTCCCCCATACTTGATATTTTTTGCACCCAAGGTACTATACATAGGCGTTTGTAGTCAGGTTGTAATTATGTTTTCTGTGAACCATAATATAGTCCTAGAATAATGCGTGATTCCATTTGGAACCTAACTGTATTAAATTTTGGTACTACTATTATTATTAATCCAGCTATGTTGTACTTATTCTCTTTCTTAAAACTGTAGGCATTTACAGATCCTCGAGCTGGTGTCAAGCCTCCAGGAGTTTGGAAAACTCTGATTGGGGCTGTATCCCCTGCCAGAAGTGCAAATCATTTGCAAAACTGTATGTTTTCTCGTCATTGATGGGCTAATACTCTTTTACAGTTTTGTGGACAAGGGTTCTGGGACAATTTTATTGAATTTAATAGTTGATTTAGATTTTCAGAAGAATAGAATCATACTATGTTTACCTTTTAGTACATTTCACCCTCAAAAAAGAAAAAACATCTTTACAGCCTAGAAAATGAGTTAAAACCCTTGTGTAAGTGTTGTGATACTTGCAGATATTTGTAATTTAGTAGAGTAGAATGAATTTTGAATCTCATGACCAGAAAAATAGTTATTTATCAGCATATTTGTTTGATGTGTACCATTAACTCTTGGTATTGTGCCACAATTTTGTCTGAGATCCAAAGGGGCAATTAGAGAATTTTGTTGGTGTCTTTCTCACTTTGTTAGGAAATTCTTCCTGAATCACTCATGAAATCTGTATTTTGTTACAGTAAAAAATTATCGTGTGTTGTGGACGGGTCTTGGAGCTCAACTTGCTCGTGATGTTCCTTTCTCTGCCATTTGTTGGGGAGCACTTGAACCTGTGAGTTTAACTCTTGAAGTAGTAGATTTATTCATTTTTTTTTACAGATGCATATTCAAATTGATGTTGAGGTTGCGTTACTCATATGGTTTCAGATCAGAAGAAGAATTCTCAGTTTGACTGGTGATGAAATGAATGCAACGAGTGTTTTAGGTGCAAATTTTGCTGGCGGATTCGTTGCTGGTGCCCTTGCTGCAGCTGCCACATGCCCTCTAGATGTTGCAAGAACTCGGAGGCAGATAGAGGTGGTTTACATTAACTGTCTATCTTGGGATTTACAATCACTTTCTACCTCAAATGTGATAAAAAATTCACTTTGACTTGCCATTTATCCATGTACAACTTTGACCATTAAATGTTTCAATCGTCTTAAGTATAAATTATAAAATGACAAAAAGCTTACATTTGAAAATATGTACTATTAGAAATTGTTTTTTCCTTTGTTTAGTACAAAATTTTTTAAGTGGAGCAGCTAATAAAAAAAAGGAGTATGTAGTAGGGGATACTGAGCGGATAAATTGGCGTAAAAAGATGGAAATCACTATCTGGAATGGGTTTGGAAAACATGGGTATATGAGATGGCAATGGAAAAAAGTTGTCCGAATATCAATGTAGTAATGGTATATGTTTTTAGCTCTAATGAGTGTTCATTTTTGCCTTAACAGAAAGATCCAGCTAGACAGAGGAGGATGACGACACGGCGTACATTGATGGAGATATGGAGGTAGGCTTTATCCTGTGCTTTTAAGATTTCTATTTGGGTTTGAATACTTAAAAAGTAGAGTTGTATTTGATTTTCGAACTGCCTCGAGTGCCAACTATACTGTTGGTGTAGTCTCTGTAGTCTGCTGAAATGTGGACTGCTTTTTGATCAGTTTTGCACCCTAATATGTGCAAGAAGCATTGGCTCTTATGCAGCTACATAGCACTATGGTCTGAATTTACATGAGTTAGACAGATATACAGGGGTTGTCTGGTCATTTTGTTGATGATATTTTCATTACCATTATATCTGGTTTTTTTTTTAATTTTTTTTTAATTTTTTTTTTATAATTTTTTTATTTTTTTATAATTTTTTTATTTTTATTTTATTTATTTTATTTTTAATATGTAATTTGAAAGGGTTTTTTATTTTATTTTATTTTATTTTATTTTATTTTTTTTTTTTAATCTTGAAATGTTTCATTAGAATCCTAAAATGTTGGCTGACTGTGTATCACATTAAATAGCAAATTGAGGTACACACATCACATTAAATAGCAAATCGAGGTTAGAGACATTTAATTGATATTGTCATCCAAGGATATTTCTCATAAGATTTTTGCTTTTTCCTTGGAAGGGACCAACTTGAATGTGCGCTTGAAATTTTGCTCTTCCAGTAGTGTAGCTGCTAGAGCTGAAATCTGAGAATACACATTCTATTCTGGCTGTCGTCAATGGTCATGAATACATCCTTATTTAAAAACTGTAGTAGTACCAAATTTACTTTATTTTGCTTCTGATTCTCACTAAGTTGCTTTTTTTTTTCATGATTAAACAAGAATTGGCAAGCTCAAACTTTGCTAATAAAATTTGTTAATTGCCTCATTGCAGGGATGGAGGCTGGAAAGGGCTATTCACAGGAATTAGTCTTCGGGTTGCCCGTGCTGGTCCTTCAGTTGGGATTGTAGTTTCGTCCTATGAGCTTATGAAATATGCCTTATATCGTAGGCACTTGAATGGTGAATGATCTGAGTACACTATATGCTTCTATCTGGTCCATGCCAACAAAACATTTGTAAGACGTGCCACACTGATGGAAGTTGGTATAGTGTGCATGATATTCTTTGACCTCACAGACCCCTGCATTGTTCGCTGCAATTTTTTTTTTTCATAGAAACTATTCTTTTATTCATCAACACAACGATACCAAGTTTGTAAAATTGAGTTGTCATTCAAGTTTAAGCTGAGTTACTGAAATTGTTGTGAATAAGAAAAAGATACTGTATCACTAAAGCTGTAGTGATACCATTGGTTGATATCAATTTTATAAGAAGTGCACACCTTTCGTATATGATACTCTATAGTGATACTCCTTATTACAGTAAAACAATTGCACAATCAATTCACACAGATAAAATGGAACATACAGTCAAAAGATACAGGATTTTAATTAAGATAACTAAACATGCCAACTAAGGCCATTTACCCTAATTTTAAAAGCTCAACATCTGACAAAACTGGTGAAAAAATGGCAGTAAATAAGTCAAATCCGTAGGGTATACACACCGGCTAACTACAAAACCATGGTCCGACCCACTGAAGGGGTTCAAAGAAAGATAACGGGTGAAAGAATATAAAAATTAATAACACAGTCAATCTGATTAAAATTACCGTCAAAGCAAAGACTGGTGAAAAAACCAGTGTAATAACATGCTGCTTAGTGTGAATCAGTACCGGACAAGGTCCTGAAGACATTCATAAAAGTGAGATATGTCAATCTTTTCTTGGCCAGAGTAAATGGCTTCTGCTTTACCTCCTTGTTCACCTTGAGCAGCCATTTCAATTAGCATGTACACTTTCTTAATTGGCATCTGCAATTTGACAAAAAGAAATTAAAACAATGAAAAATCGAGGGGCAACCAAAACTTTTGGGCACAAATTACATCAAATTTAACAAGTCCCAAGAATCCTAGATGGAGTATAAACTATAAGCTACTCTAATGTAAAAAAAACGTCATAGTTAAAATCAATACAGGGAAGAAAACTGAAAGAGGATGACTTACATCATTTAGGGCCTCAGCAGCCGAATCTATGTCATCCTCTGAGAAGACATTTAGTTGCTTCAACACCTGAGCAAGGAGAGAGAGAGAGAGAGAGAGAAAAGTAGAGAACAGATTAAAGAACCCAATCAACATAGAAAAGGACACGAGCTTTACATAAAAATGGAGCAAATAGCAAAATCACCCATATCTTTTGTTTTTGCACCAGGCAAACCTCATAACTTATGCAATCTACATAGCAGTCTACCACTTACGTAGCCAGAATAGTATAACACCACTCATTAAAAACACACAGGATATCCAGACCTCATTACAAACCAATGTTACCTAATTCGTGGTATGTTTGGTACATATTAAAGGCATGGGGGCACAACTCGCTACCTGTTTGGTAAAACTAGTCTAAAAATGTACCATTGTACCATGATTGTAATGTTTATTTACCAGGCAGCTGATTTGTACTATGTTCTACATTCAAACCCCAGAAAGACGTACTTTCTTTCCAACATGCGCCACAATCACGTTAAAAAGAAGCCCCAGAACAACTTTAGATCATGCGTTTACATGGAGAAAGATTAGCTAACCTTTCGTGCATCTTCAGTTTTCAAAGTTGGGACATTATAGGTGACAGAGAATGCATCACGAATGCCAATTGAATCCAAGAAACCAACTTCACTGGTTGTCCCCAACACAAGAAGTTTCTTTCCCTGGAGACAAATGATCAAGTAATGAGACTTAAGATATGGAATAATGCACTGACGTACAGCACAGCAGCAGTCAATGGTAAGAAATAAATTGAGATCAGAGTTACTATGATTCTCATATAGGAGTTCTAAACAATCAACTAAGTTTTCAATTTGGTAAAAAAAAAAAAAAAAACTAGATAACAAAAATTTCTACCAGATTAGTCTTTATGGACAATGCTAAAACTAACAAATTGTATTCACACCATCCTTTTGAGCCCCCACATACTTTCATCATATCTTTAATCCACATTATAAGTCCAAATCCTGATTTACATGCATTGGAGCATATGACCAATACACCAGAGAAAGATGGATCCCAAGTGAAAAGTAAAACCATAGCCACCCAGGGCATTAACTTGTTCATCAACCCCAAGGTCCAAACTAGGTTACAATACCCACATGCTAATGACAAGTTAGAATCATCGTCTCTCACAAAACATGGTAGCAAAGCAACACTGCCCTCTCCTCTCCTCTCCTCTCCTCAGCATAATTTCTCTCCCCACTAGCCCTTTAATACCACAATGTATAGCACATATAGAAGAATTAAGACTAATCTTAAGGTTTCATCTTAAGGTTTCAAACTCGATTATGTTGCTGAACATTAGTGGAAGAACAAAGACCAGTTGCGCTCACAGGGTAGCATCTTGTGGACCATTCCAATTAGATGTATGAATATAATCTCAAGGAAAGAGTTATACACCACTTTTGATTTCAAACTTCAATCCACAATCAAGTCATAAGTCGATACACAACTATGGATCATGGAACCAAACTAAGGTCATCCTATAATAGCCTCCTGTTCAATGTCTCTTACAGGCATATATTTACTAAAGTAAATTACTACATAATCTACGGACACTATACTCATTCACATGCATGCGAATGTTGGCTATGATTGGACCTTGAAGCTGCAGAGGATGTTAAGAGTAGACGTGCTAACAGAGTAATAGGTATACTTCCTAGTAAAACATGCATGAATTTGCTAACATCACATGATATTTGCACTCTTGCCACTTGTTTACACTCACAACAATGGCCTAATAAATAAAGGCTAGGTACAGCATAATTGCATTGCGACAGAAGTTTCAATTTTTGTTACAAGGGGATTGGGGATCATGATAAGCAAATTGTGAATGCAAATATAACATTACAAAGGTCAGGGAAAAAAAGACCACAGGTTTTTCCATTAAACTCACACATTTATCTCTCAAGAAAATGATATTCATCAGCAGATGACAGAAGTGATTTTTTTCTGCACCTATACAGTTGCTTATGAGCAACTACAGGCTTTTAAGCAAGTCTTTGAGGTTATTGTCAAGTGAGTTTTAAATGACATGGGTTCATAATCAGACTAAGTTGTTAACTGTTGAGAAAAAAAAGAGGTATGAGTAGGAAGGGAAGCTAGGAACCTACAAATAAGTAGATAGAAGAATTCGAAAACAGACAATTAGTTAGAAACTTCTGTATAGGGAGTAAAAACTAATCTTAGAGCAAGGAAAATTTCAAGACACACCAGTGGGGGAAGTCGTTTCAAGAGGACCATCAATGTTTGCGAGATGATATTTGAAAACCGAGGGCCAATAGCCACATATTCTACAAGCCTGCAAGATAGTATTGAGTTTATGTCCAACAAAAAGAAACAAAATTACAGGAAGAACAATAAAACATTGTCAAAGTCACCTCTCAATGTCATCAAGTATTATTACGCTCAGCGGTGACCTATAAGCATCTTCAAAGACCTACAATTAAAAATTCAACCAAAGGTGCATAATCAAATATCAATGACAGCACTACGTAAGCGGACAAAAATTACAAAGGGAAGATGCCATAATGCCACATGCACTAATGTGGCAGTGGGGTGATTGTACATGTGTAACACTAACAAAGTAACAAGTTTAGAGATACATGATAATCAAAGTAAATACACATTCTGAACACAATTACTATACTTCATTTTTCATAAAAGGTCAAAAACTACAAAAGAAAGAGTAGTAAAAATGAACCTTGACAATATGTGCACATTTAGTACTCTCACTGAGACCAATCATGGATTCCGCTGATACCTACTCATTATTTACACAAACAGAAATAAAACATGTTACAGTCATGGATCTTGAAAAATGGCATGATAAAATCAACAAGTACAGAACTTACAATCTTCACATATGGAAAATCACTACAGATACCAACTGTAGCAGCCATTGCAGTCTTCCCACTAAACACAAACAAAATCAGAAAACTGTAAATAATTATTCAAAAAACAGCAAGGAACAAGGGCAAGGAAATGTAATTATTACCTGCTACTTGGACCTTCCAGAAGACAAGTCAAAAGTGGGCTGCCTTTGCTAAGTTTTACTTGTTCTGCTAGCAGCATAGTGCGTTGCTGGATGTGTTCATGGCGTACACCACAATCCACCATTCCATTGAGCCTACAAGTTTTAGTAGAGATGTGATTATAAAACCTTTAATAAAAAATATCTACATAATTATTAGGAGGCATGCTAGTTACAGCCAATATATCACAGCTTCTAAACTACCAAATGGAAACGAGGTATTAGCCAAAGGTAAATAACAAAGTAATATCCCATATGAAAGAACCATAGGACCCTTACTATCTTACCTGCATCGTTCAAGATCACCGGTGGATGCTCCAAATGCTGGTTTGACTTCTCCTATAGCTTCCAAAAAGTCGTGCATAGTAACTTTTATGTTTTCCTCATCCACTGGCTTATTAAGATCATCCATGTTTAATTGCCGGTTCAGAGCATATGAGACAGCACTCTTAACAACACCTTCGAGCTCTGCTCCACTATAATTCTTTGTTCTTGCAGCTGCATTAATGTGTAGATAAATTTATATATACCCTTCACATCATATTACCAGATGTATAAAAGTTGTAGTGCTAAGATTAGGAAGCCTAAAAACATAGGAAAAAAAAAAGTTCAGTTAAATAAAACATCCATCTTACAAGGGGACAACAGGCAAATAAAATTCAAAAGCCTACAGTAAATACTGTTGCATCATTTTATCAAAATGCTTATGAAACTGAATGCCACAGGAGACAAAGAGAGTAATTTTCTACTGTCTAAGGCACATCAATGTGAAATTTTATCACCATAGTTCAATATAAAGCAACAAGAAGATACTAGTGAGTAGTGACCTCAAAAGCATTTACAACAAATTCACATACCCAGTTCAGCCAAATTGATGTCTGGTGCAAGGAAAGAATTTTCTTTCATCTTGGTTGTATGAATTTCAAGAATTTGCAAACGACCAGCTTCATCAGGGAGGCTTATCTCCACTTGAACCTCTAAACGCCCAGGCCTGTCCAGAGAAAACTATCACCATGGCTATACAATAGTTACAAAATTGACTTCAAAAGCTGAGCAGATTATCTAATAAAAATGGAATGTTCATCAATGAAAAATCGGTACCAGCAAAGAGCTCACCTTAAAAGTGCTTCATCAAGCAAATCTTTTCTGTTAGTCATCCCAATCAACAAAACATTATTGAGTGCCTCCACCCCGTCAATCTAAAAAGCAAGAAGCTATCAGTATTATCAGTATACTGGCTATCTTACTTTTTATCTGTACAAACACATACTATTTTACATTTTAGAAAGCCAATCTTTAACCTACCTTGGTTAGTAGCTGGTTGACAATGCTATCATGGACACCTGTACCATCCCTAGTAGAGCCTCTAGACTGCAAATTTTAAAGAGAAAAAACTTATCAGAAACTTGGTCTAAGCATACTAGAAAAGATCTGCAAAATCAATATAGCTTCTTCGTTTCTATGGTGACTATTGTACTTTCCATTATAATGTGATTAATGTCCCAATTGAATATCCTAATCCATAAGGGTTATTAACTTATTATCAGCACCAGTTTTATTTTTTATTTCAAGCTATCTCCACTTCATGTGTACATAATGGATCAAATCCCCCATCAACTAGCTCATTTATTACTCCAGCATCAGTAAAAAAATCATTAGGAATTTAGATCAATATCAGAAGGGAAAGATTTATGTAAATATAGAGTAATCAGAAGGATAACAAAATGTTTCATAAACAATGATTCAGGCAATCAAAAAAGAATAACAGTGTGAACATCAATTTTCTGAAAAATGATGTGCTCAGTATGGGACAAGGGCTTCCATAATCCACATAAACTTTGTACACGCAGGATTGACTACAGCAACTAGGCAGATAATGAGGGATGACAATTAGTTGTATAACGTGTGAATCTTCATGTGCAAGCAAGCATGCACATGTGTGTAGTATCAAGGGTATAAATTAAAAATTGGAACCCTAGTCCCTAGGATGATGACGAAGAACTATAAAAAATAACTGTCATTGCTCACGATGCCTTACCTTACAGATAGCATCTATTTCATCAAAGATAATAACATGCAAGTCACTTTGATCCCCTGAAAAGTACAAATTAAAAAATTAAGCAGTAAAAAAGAAAACCATACAATAAATAATGTAAAAAAAAATCCATTACTTTCTTTTTGATCAGTGACAACAATAGAGCCAGCACAAGCATAACTCCAAATGACACCAGCCATATGCAATGTATACATCTCACTTTACCTCGAGTTCTCTGGTCTTGTTCAGCATCAGCAAATAGATCCCTGATGTTCTTCTCAGTTTCACCAACAAACTTGCTTAATACTTCAGGCCCATTGACAATCTGGGAAAAACAAACATATAAGCCACAGCCATATAGTCTGTGTTTTGAGGCTTCCAAAGAGGAATGTATTGTATTCAAAACAAATTATATATATTCTTTTTCACTCAACATACCCCTCTTCCCCCTAAAGGAGATCAAAGTTACTAACATGAATCCCTTATACTGGTGTACCTCTCCTTCACTGTCCAAATGCAACAGATCAATTTTCACAAGAGGCACCTCATTAATAAAACTTTGAATCAGAATATCAATCCATCAATCAAAGTCTAAATTACCGGGTTGAATTAAGGGACTGAGATCAAAGTTCTCTTGTCCAAGAATGGTAATAAATATGCAGAGAGTTGAACACAGGGAATGCTGGATGTCTTCTCAAACAGGGCGTAAAAACTTAGTTATTTTTTTTTTTTTTTTTTTTTTTTTTATAAGCAGGAAGCAATGATTAAAAGTCTGGAATTTGAGTGGTCAAGAATTGAGATCTAAGGATCAGCACAGATCAAATTGAACAAGTTGTAATTAAAAATAATCGTAGTAGGAATGAATTTGCCAGCATTTCTCATCGTCTAAATTATAAGTCCATACAGGTTCACTTGAAGTACCTTTGGATCCTTTCCATTTAACACCTTTCCTATCTGACGTGCCATTAGAGTCTTGCCAGTGCCAGGAGGCCCATACAGAAGCATTCCTTTCACATGCTTGATGCCCAATCTATGGTAGTCAATGCGAAATATGTATCAGTCATTTATAGAATCAATATTTCAACAACATACCAGCTAAAGCTTAAAAATTACTTGCTAGTGACATGGGGAGGAAAAACCCTAGAGGCAAAAGCTCTTCGAAATATATCTGCAAACTCTGCACTCAGACCACCTATACCAAGTGCCTTCAAATTGAATTCTTTATGCTTAAAGAGATTGCTGCTAGCTGATTCACGTTGATTGATTATCTGAAAATTACATTAAAAACTGTCATTCTACAGCAATTCTAACAATCATAGATAACTTCACAATATCAAAATATTAGAAAACTGGAAACATACAACAATCACTTAATCCAAAGCCAACTTCTAGCAATACATGTTCAAGGATGAAGAGTTTACCTTTATTCCACTGCCTCCTGCTGCCTCAAAAATGATATATGTGTCTGCTGACAGCATCCCTCTTTCAATATCTGAATTTTCCTGCCCCTCAACAACAGCCTGGTTGACTGTGAAAAGAAAATTATTGCCTAGGTACTCAAAAGTTACTTTTTGGCCCACTGTCATGATCTGCATAAGGTCATTGGGAAAATATATTAGAGGTGCAATGGACAAGCAAGAAAACAAACAATATAATCCTCTTTAACTGCACCTTCTCCAGTACCGGATTAGGGGAACACCCGAACATACCAGCATTTCTGCCTAACAGACCATCAATAATAGTCCTTGTTCTCAAGTCAATTTATTTGACAAAAAGATAAAGAATTTAGCTAACACATTTATACGGTGTCCCAAAATAAAATTATCGACCTTTATAGAATTGTACCTTGGCCTTAACATACATGCAAAAGCAATTCGGAAATCATAAGTATGGAGGTAGAATAATAGCTACCAGTTAAACAAATTGCTTTGAGAACACGGAAAAGATTATCCCTCTTGTTTCCTCATACATGTTAAATTGTCCTCATTGATTTCAAATTGGCAAAAGGCATACCAGGAAGATTGTCTAACAATGTGGAATTGTGGATTTATAAAAAATGAACAAAATCCACACAAACAATTTTAGACAACCTTTGTAGGGGGGAAAAAGCTAGAAGTGTCAAAAGTTGACCCGACCCCAAATACTGACTCAAACTCGATTATTAACCGAACCATCTAAACCCGAAAAAATGGTGACCCAAACCCAACTTGAAACCAACCCTAGACCCGATTTCACCCGAGTATGTGAGACCTGAACCCGAACATAAATTGACCTGGAGATGACCCGACCTGAATGTAACCCGTAAATTATTGACTTGAACCGAACCCGAGAATTACCCTAACCCGTGAAAACCCGACCTATTGTTCACCCGACCTATTATTAACTCGACCTAAAGTCGACCAAAACCCGACCCAAATCCGATAAGAAGTATGACCCGACGTTACCCGACTCAAGCATGACCCAAACCAAACCCGACCCACATAGGTTATGGAATTAATCCGAATTGACCCGACCCGAATTGCCCTGACCTACACTTACCAACCTAAACACGACCCATTTACCCGAATTGACAACTCTACCCGAAAACACCAAAAATTCTCAAAAAGCGTGGATATTAGCCTAGAATTTTGGAATTTTTTAACTTTTTTTCACCTAAAAATAAAAATTGTCAAAATGTTTACCATGATCCTTAATACCCGGGTGGAACCATCCAATTTGCCTTTCAACGACCAATTTACCGGTTTACAACTTGCACCAAATCCATTTAATCAAGCCTCCCACGAACATTTTTGACAACATATAATGATCATATATGGTTCCAAATGGCATTATATGACCCCGACATATATTCCCTATAATTTCAAGACTTTTCTTAACCGAGCCCCGATAACTCAAAAAATTCTGAAAAAGCGTGGATATAGCCTTCAATTTTTAAATTTTTTGACTTTTTTTTGCCCGTAAATAAAAATTGCCGAAATGTTTACCATGGTCTCTATTGTCTAATACCCTCCGGAAGTCTAATTGGGTAGATGGAACCATCCAATTTGCCTTTAAACGACCAATTTACCGGTGTAAAATTTGCGCCAATTTCATTAACTCAAGCCTTCCACAAACATTTATGACAACATATAATGATAATATATGGTTCCAAACAGCTTTATATGAACCCGAGATTTATCCCCTAAAATCTAAAGGCTTTTTGACATCGGGCTACGAAACCTCCAAAATTTCTCAAAAAGCGTATAGATATTAGCCTTCAATTTTGTAATTTTTACTTTTTCCACTCGGAAATAGAAATTGCCGAAATGTTTACCATGGTACCTAATACCCTCCGGAAGTCCAATTGGGTGGGTGGAACCATCCAATTTGCCTTTAAACTACCAATTTACCGGTTCACAACTTGCACCGATTTCATTAACTCAAGCCTACCACGAACATTTATGACAACAAATAATGATCATATATGATTTCAAACGGCATTATATGACCCCGAGATATATACCCTAGAATTTCAAGGCTTTTCAACACCCCTGAAACCTCCAAAAATTCTCAAAAAATATGGACATTAGTCTTCAATTTTGGAATTTTTTGACTTTTTTTCGCCCGAAAATAAAAATTACTGAAATGTTTACCCTGAGAGTCCAATTAAGTGGGTGGAACCATCCAATTTGCCTTTAAACGGCCAATTTACCGATTTACAACTTGCACCGATTTCATTAACTCAATCCTACCACGAACATTTATGACAACATATAATGATCATATATGGTTCCAAACGACATTATATGACCTCGAGATGTATCCCCTAAAATCTCACGCCTTTTTTGACACCGGATCCCAAAACCTTCAAATTTTCTCAAAAAGCGTGGATATCAGCCTTAAATTTTGGAATTTTTAGACTTTTTTTCGCTTGGAAATAAAAATTTCCGAAATGTTTACCATAGTTCCTAATACCCTACAGGAGTCCATTTGGGTGGGTGGAACCATCCAATTTGCCTTTAAACGACCAATTTACCGGTTTACAACTTGCACCGATTTCATTAATTTAAGCCTACCACAAACATTTATGACAATATATCATGATCACTTATGGTTCCAAACAACATTATATGACCCCGAGATGTATCCCACAAAATCTCACGCCTTTTCGACACCAGGTCCCGAAACCTCCAAAATTTCACAAAAAGCGTAGATATTAACCTTCAATTTTGGAATTTTTTAACTTTATTTCGCTTGGAAATAAAAATTGCCGAACTTTTTACCCCGGTTCCTAATACCCTCCGGGAATCCATTTGGGTGGGTGGAACCATCCAATTTGCCTTTAAACGACCAATTTATCGGTTTACAACTTGCACCGATTTCATTAACTCAAGCCTACCACGAACATTTATGACAACATATAATGATCATTTATGGTTCCAAACGGCATTATATGACCCCGCAATGTATCCCCTAAAATATCATTTCTTTCTGACACCGAGCCCCGAAACAATCGAAATTTCTACAAAAACATGGATATTAAGCCTTTAATTTTGGAGTTTTTTTATTGTTTTTCGCACGGAAATAAAAATTGCCAAAATATTTACAATGATCCCTAATACCCCACAGGAGTCCAATTGCGTGGGTGGAACCATCCAATTTACCTTTAAATGACCAATTTACCGGTTTACAACTTGCACCGATTTCATTAACTTAAGCCTACCACGAACATTTATGACAACAAATAATAATCATATATGGTTCCAAACGACATTATATGACCTCGAGATGTATTCCCAAGAATTTCAAAACTTTTAGACACCAGGCGAATACTTCTAAATTTCTCAAAAAGCGTGGATACTAGCCTTCAATTCTTGAATTTTTTAAACATTTTTTCGCATGCGAATAAAAATTGTCGAAATATTTACCACGATTCCTAAAACCCTCCGGGATTCTAATTGGGTAAGTGGAACCAATCCAATTTACCTTTAAACGGCCAATTTACCAATTTACAACTCTCACCGATTTATTAGTTCAAGCCTAAAACAAACATTTATGACAACATATAATTATCATATATAATTTCAAACGACATTAAATGAACCTGAGATGTATCCCTTAAAATCTTAAGGCTTTTTGACAATAAACCCCGAAACCTCCAAAATTTCTCAAAAAGCGTGGATATTAACCTTTAATTTTGGAAATTTTTGACTTTATTTCTCCCGTAAATAAAAATTGCCGAAATGTTTACCATGGTACCTAATACCTTCCGGGAGTCCCATTGGGTAGGTGGAATCATCCATTTTGTTTTAAAACGACAAATTTACCGAGTTACAACTTGCACCGATTTCATTAACTCAAGCCTACCACGAACATTTATAACAACATATAATGATCATTTATGATTCCAAACGGCATTATATGACCCCGAGATGTGTCCCCTAAAATTTCATTTCTTTTTCGACACCGGGCCCCGAAACATTCGAAATTTCTCAAACAACATGGATATTAGCCTTTAATTTTGGAATTTTTTTTTATTTTTTTCTTCCGTAAATAAAAATTGCCAAAATATTTACCATGGTCCCTAATACTCCACAGGAGTCCAATTGGGTGGGTGAGACCATCCAATTTGCCTTTAAATGACCAATTTACCGGTTTACAACTTGCACCGATTTCATTAACTTAAGCCTACCACGAACATTTATGACAACAAATAATGATCATATATGGTTCCAAACGACATTATATGACCTTGAGATGTATTCCCAAGAATTCCAGAACTTTTAGACACCGGGCAGATATTTCAAAATTTCTCAAAAAGCGTGGATACTAGCCTTCAATTTTCGAATTTTTTTACTTTTTTCGCATGCAAATAAAAATGTCGAAATGTTTACCATGATTTTTAATACCCTTCGGGGTTCTAATTGGGTAAGTGGAACCATCTAATTTACCTTTAAACGGCCAATTTACCAATTTACAACTCTCACCAATTTTATTAATTCAAGTCTACCACGAACATTTATGACAACATATAATTATCATATATAGTTCCAAACGGCATTATATGACCTTTAGATGTATCCCTTAAAATATCAAGGCTATTCGAAAATGGGCCCCGAAACTCCAAAATTTCTTAAAAATCGTGGATATTAGGCTTCAATTTTGGAATTTTTTGACTTTTTTTCACCCATAAAGAAAAATTGTCGAAATGTTTACCATGTTCCCTATTACCCTCCGCGAGTCCCATTAGGTAGGTGGAACCATCTAGTTTGTCTTAAAACGAAAAATTTAACGATTTACAACTTGCACCGATTTCATTAACTCAAGCCTACCACGAACATTTATGACAACATATAATTATCATATATGGTTCTAAACGGCATTATATGACACCGAGATGTATCCCCTAAAATCTCAAAAAAAATTGAGACCGGGCCTTGAAACATCCCAAATTTGTTAAAAAGCATGGATTTCAATTTTGGAAATTTTTGAATTTTTTTCGCCCGGAAATAAAAATCGCCGTAATGTTTATAATTGTCCCTAATATCCTCCGGGAGTCCACCTAGCTAGGTGCTACCATCCAATTTGCCTTCAAACAGCCGATTTAACGGTTTACAACTTGCACCGATTTTATTAACTCAAGCCTACAACGAACATATATGACAACAAATAATGATCATATATGGTTCCAAACGACATTATATGACCTCGAAATGTATTCCCTAAAATTTTAAAAATTTTCGACACCGGGCCCCGAAACCTCCAAATTTCTCAACAAGTGTGGATATTAGACTTCAATTTTGGAATTTTTAACTTTTTTACGCCCAGAAATAAAAATTGCTGAAATGTTTGTCATGGTTGCTAATACCATATAAAAGTCCAATTGGGTGGGTAAAACCATCTAATTTGCCTTTAAACGGCCAATTTACAGGTTTACACTTGCACCGATTTCATTAACTCAAGCGTACCACGAACATTTATGACAACATATAATGATTATATATGATTCCAAACGGCATTATTAACCCCGAGATGTATCTCTTAAATTTTTGAGGCTTTCAACGCAGGGCCGTGAAATCTCAAAAATTTCTCAAAAAGCTTGGATATAATCTTCAATTTTGGATTTTTTTTTTCGCCCGTAATTAAAAATTTCCGAAATCTTTAAAATGGTTTTTAATACCCTCCGGGAGTCCAATTGGGTGGGTGGAACCATCCAATTTGTCTTTAAACGACCAATTTACCGGTTTACAATTTGCACCGATTTCATTAACTCAAGCCTACCACGAACTTTTATGACAACAAATAATGTTTACATATGGTTCTAAACAACTTTATATGACTTCGAAATGTATTCCCTTGAATTCAAAGACTTTTAGACACCGGGCCCCGAAAACTCCAAAATTTCTCAAAAAGGTGGATAATTAGCCTTTAATTTTTGAATTTTTTTGACCTGAATTGAATCTAACCCGATCCGTTCCTAACCCGACCCGAAATCAACTCGACTTGTTATTGACCTGACCCATATTAAACCCGACTTGTCATAGACCTGACCCGAATTTTACCAGACCTATTATTTACCCGATTTAAAAATTCAACCCGATCTGTTACTAACTTCACTCGAAATTAACACGTTTTGTTATTGACCCAGCCTAAATTCAACCCAAATTATTCATGACTCGATTTCAAATAACCTTAAATGCAATTTAGACCACCTTATTATTGTTGATCAACTAATTTTGTCTAAGGAGACCAAGTCGGTCCAGCCAGCGAAAGAAATGAGCATCATCCTCAAATTTAAGAGTTAAATATAGTATATATTTGTTATATGGTCAAAAGAGATAATTATCTTCTTAAATTATAGACTATAGTTCCCTAGTATATTGCCATATATATTATAGTCAAAGGAAATAATTAGCTTGATAAAAATGATAATAATCTATTTATAGTTAGTTGAACCCGAATATGACCTGACTAGGAAATAAACCGACCTGATTGTAACCTGTAAATTATTGACTTGAACATAACCCGACTTGAATGTGAGAATGACCCGACTTGAAAATGATCCAACCTGATTGTAACCCGCAAATTATTGACTTGAACCGAACTTGACTTGAACCCGAGAATGACCCGACTTGAAAATGACCCGACCTAATTATAACCCGCAAATTATTGACTTGAACCGAACCCGACTCCAACCCTAGAATGACCCGACCTTATTCTAACCTGCAAATTATTGACCTGATTGTAACCTGTAAATTATTGACTTGAACATAACCCGACTTGAATTTGAGAATGACCCGACTTGAAAATGATCCAACCTGATTGTAACCCGCAAATTATTGACTTGAACCGAACTTGACTTGAACCCGAGAATGACCCGACTTGAAAATGACCCGACCTAATTATAACCCGCAAATTATTGACTTGAACCGAACCCGACTCCAACCCTAGAATGACCCGACCTTATTCTAAACTGCAAATTATTGACTTGAACCGAACCCGACCCGAAAATTACCCTAACCCGTTTTAACTCGTGAAAACCCGAATTAAGCTCGACCTATTGTTCACCCGACCCGAATGTAACCCGACCTGTTATTAACCCGACCCAAACCCGATAAGAAGTATGACCCGACGTGACCCGACTCAAGCATGACCCAACCCAAACCCGACCCGCATAGGTTATGGAATTAATCTGAATTGACCTGACTCGAGTTGACCCGACTCACTCTTACCCGACCCGTTTACCCGAATCGACAGCTCTAGAAAAGGAAAACAAAAAGATGGGAGGAGCTATAACTTACACTCCCTGAAATAAACTAATACATCACATGGTCTTCCATTTGAATGACAATTGTCTATAAGGTGGTAGCACAAAAGATGGGGAGGAAAGGTTGGTGCAACATCAGCATGCTTTTTCTGAAACTAGGAAGTTAAACGTTAGGTTAGGTATGATGACTGTTGAAAATGATTTTGAATGTTTTGTTATGAAAGTCCATGAAATGGTAATTACTGTCACAAGAAATGGGATTTTGGCCTTCAACAATTATATGTTTAATCCTTCAATTTGTTTGACTAGTTACTGTGACAAGACCAAAAAGACCAACAGTCGATAAATGAGGTCAAAACCATCTTTCAATACAATGAGAAATTTAGTGACATTGTCCTGGTGTACAGCAGCATCACAGATTACAAGCATGCAAATTGAAACTCCAGATAGTCCCTAACATTTTAAAGAAAATAAACACTGGAGTGAACCAAAAAATAAAAGAAAAAATCAACAAACTTGCCTGGTCAACAAGTCTCCTCTTAATCAATTGGGTCACAACAACAGCATCAACCTGACAACAAAGACATTTCAGGAATAGATTCATAGAAACAAAAATGTATTGCATCAAAAATCAATACGTGTACAGGATAAAAGACATGTAAAAGTATCTTAGTTCCATAAAACACCCACGGCAAAGAAAATTGAAGCATCAAGTTGCCAATACAAAAACATATCTTTCGAGAAGTAAGCAAAAGCATGAAACATTAATCTGCAGTAAAATCTTACAAAGTAACAAAACATTAAAGAAAATTTACTTGTTCATCTCTTGCTTTTGCTTTGGACAAATAGTCCAATTCAAGAGTAAGCACTGTAATTTGATTATTCTGAGGAGGTATGAATCTACAAAGAAAGATGCAAAAAGAAAAATATCGTCAATAATGAAGTATGAAAATCATCAACTGGTTTGAAATTATCAAAACATTAAACCACCTAACCTTTTGACAGTAATGGGGTCCCCGGTGGAAACCCTCAGATACTTCCGTTGGACAGAATTAAGAGCTATGCTCCCACTGGGTATATCATCATGAGCAGTGGGCAGTAGTTAAGGAGAAAACAATGCTGACAGAAATTTAGGTAAAGAGCACGAAAAAGTTCAAAGAAACATGTTAAGATAACTCTCACATTTTGAATAATATGCAAACAAAGAACCACAGCTTGAAAGTCAGAGCAAAACTCTAATTTATAAGTACAGAATGAGGCTAAAAGGTAAAAACAAAATAATAGATGATAAATGCCAATGATGAAAGATCATGCTTAGATCCTAGGCAATCAACATGAATAAACTTACATCATATGCACTTCAGCATTCAAAGGAAATGCTAATCATAGTCAATCAAGAGTTGATATTAACGGTTCCTACTTTTTTCAGCTGTATGTTGCTGCGTCAGCGTGCCTATAAGATATCCATGGTTTCTTCAAAGTACATATGAATACTCTTTATTCTTAATTTTTAAGGACACCTCGATACTAAATCATCTAGCAGACACATGATGCAGATAGAGGAAGAGCAGCAAATAACAATTAGAAGACAATAACAGTTACCAATTTTGTCCAACTAAATAATTTGTAAATGCAGACTTTCTATAATAGCAAATAACCTGCAAGTTTCTCATTGAAGTTCAAAATCGAGCCAAACCAAACAAAAGGACAAGAACACAATATTGTGACATGCAACCTGAACCTAAATTAATTTGGTTGGCACATAAAATATGGTTAGAAACAAGCAATCAACACAATACATTCTGCAGCTGAATTCAAAATAACTTCGAAAATAAATCACATTGTCTATAACATAACAAATAAGAGAATGACAATCCAAATAGCAAAATCACAATACAAAATCGGCGTAAATTTCAACAACTAGATTGAACGGAACAAATAGCAATTGAAAAGTAAGACTGTAAGAGGAAGGATATCCAACGGAAAGGACCCAAGAATCGCCAACATAGGCAAAAACCACGCGCGATCCAGGAGCAGCAAGACGGCGAAGATCAGCAACAGAGCAGTAGGCGAGATTCGTGGATACCAGATCTCTCGCCGGCGTGTTGGTGACGATCATGGTGTCAATCGCCATTTCTGTACAACAACAAAACTTAAGAGAGAAAACATACAAAATGCAAAGGTCTTACAATCATATTATATCGCAAACCATTACAAAATCATGAAGCTCAAAAACTAACAAGTAATTTATTACAAAATCGAGCTAAAAAACTTTCGAATTGAACATTATTCCAGGTCACTGAAAATGTACATCAGAGCAAGCATAATCCACTAAAAATTCGATTACAAATTTGATTTTGAATGTAATTCATGATTTTCTTGAAGTTCATGAAATCTCTAGAACAAAAATGAACCCTAAATTTGATTTAAAACCCTAGAAATCGAAATTCGACATCAAAATCAACCACAAAATGCAACAATTCACTAAAATTTCAACACAAATGAAGGAGAGAAAGCAAGTGAATTACCGCGAAACAGAATTGGATGAAAGAGAGAGAGAAATCGGTAGAAAACGCCGATAAATCGAAGGTGAGATGAGACGAAGAAAATGAAAAGAATTGAAATGAAGAACAGAGAGATAGGAAGAGACTTAGTGACGAAGAAAGAAGATCTCGCGCAGACCAGACTTGTCTTTCATTTGTCTCAGACTTCCTTCTCTCCACCTTTCCTTTTATTTTTTCCCGCTGTTACGATTTTTTTTTTTTTTAACTAAATTGGGGAAAAGTATTTTATATTTGTTGCGTTTTATTCACGTAAATTTCTGTAAATAGAATTACAAATTAAGGTAAGTATGAATGGATATGTGAGGTAATTCTTGTGTTATTTAAGACAAAGTTAAGTTATATACAAAGTCATGAGCATAACTCATGTACATTGTGGGTCAAAGTATGAATGAAATGGTTTCGGATGTCAAGTACGTATCTTAAGGTTATTTGGGAACTATGATAGGTACCTAGATATATAATATTGTCGGATCCAAAAATGATACGTGGGAGCAAAATTTGAAGGCTACAATTACACAATACATTACATTTTCGAAGATTTTGGGACCCGATGAGTAATGGTAGGTCGTTTATATTGTTTGGAACATTGTATGAACTCTAGTCGATCATTAAAAGATCAAATGTGACATTGAATTAATGTATAGAGCTTTGCATGGACCATTGGAACTGGCTAAATTAAGAGCTTAAAGACAAAGTGAATGTTTCCAACCACCCATATTGGGTCTCATGAGGCTCATGGGAAGCACCCTAACTACTTTCCTTTTTGAGCCCGAAAAAGTAAAAAATTGTCCAATATTGAAGGCTATAATTCACTTTTAAACCCATTTTCGAGTATATTTTCCAAAATTAAATAGAATGAAAAAAGTCCTAATAATGAGTCTACCAATAAGTCTACAAAGTCCTAATAATAAATTTTGTTGATTATATGGCATTATTGCTATTTCGAAAATCTGTTGTATAATCACGAAAAAGCAAAAGAATTCTAATCACTATTCAGACATCCTAGGTCCTACTAAGGTGTCAAGTTTCCTTCATCAGTTTACAAAATATTTACCACACCATTGTCTATGCATGCCTTAGTGCCTTACATAGTTACATTTGTTGTTTACAATAAAACCTGTATTGGTGTTTGCTACTCTAAACACTATGACCCCTCATTGTTAATTTAGGTCATTCAGGACTTTCAGGTTCAAAGTGTGATTAGGTGTATTCCGGATGAGCTTCTCAAATGTCATGTTAGGCCGGTGTAACATTCTAAGTTTTTACCCAAATGGCCAATATAGATCCTGAGGCTCTACGCTGGAGGTTTGAATTCTGTCAAATTCATGCAAGCTCACGCTGGAGGTTTGACATTCACAAGTCATGTAAATGTCTCAATTTGGCTCAGCTAGCACTTGGGCTCGGCTTAAAATGGATACTATTAAGAAAAGTTTAAACCATGAGAGGCTACACACGTCAAAAGTATACTACATTTCTATACATATATGACGGCAAAAACTGATAATTAGATTATGCACATCAAAGTTGGATAAAGCTGATCTAAACATAAGATATCAACTGAAGATTACAATGGAACTATGAAAATAAAGCTTCTGTCTGCCTCACACAGCCAAGTTTGGATCTACCATTCCTGCACCGCTGCCTTCCCCAGTCATAAGGTGGTCAGGATCCTGAAAAACAAGTTTATCAATAAATTTATGATGTCCAACAGACAGGACAGACAACTATTTCAAAATCATGTACATTACCTCCATTCCCCATTTGATGTAATCTGGGGATTCACATGCCTTGTATTCATCCACCAAACTCTCAATTATGTCTCTTGATTCGTCAAATTCAGATAAATCATTGTCCTGTAGGTTTTACATCAAAAGTCAAACAAATCTTACTATATGGTATGGTTAACTTGGAATCAGAAGAGATGATTGCATACTTCTGGCTAACTTTGTTTTTATATAAGTAGAAAATTAGCTAAACAATGACTACCTCATACTGCAGCAAAGAACAAGTGCACACAGAGCAATGCCTATAAATAAGGCTGCCAAAGATACTGGCATTTATTTATCAGGGAAAAAAAAAAACAGTGACAGCTCCACATCACATCAAACACACGGATACAGGAAGTGCACATAAAGGAGATTATGACTCTAGTAATGAAAAAGATATAGAAGTACAAGCCTATATGCCCTAAAAGTGTCTGGATGATGGCCGGGATTTAGTTCAATCCTGACTCGTGATCCAGGAAGCTAATTCTGGTCGTAAGCACAAAAGTATTGAAAATGAAAGGCAAAGAGGTTATTACAGCAAGCCATATTGGCACTTTGGCAGACAACAATATCAACTGAGTTCAATAAGATTCCAAATCAACCCATGAAGGCAGAAGCACAGATTGTGAAAAATGATGAAAAAAACAAGATACAAAAACAAATAAAAAAATGACAAACTTATAACCATGGAATGATGAAATACTTAAAGATGTAAGAAAAATCAAATGTTTAAAGACAAGGCTCTGCAACTTACAGCAAACATTGGAAATTTTCGATAGTTGTCCAGGAAAGCTTGCTTCTTCCTCAATTTCTCGTACTGACTTAAGCACTTGCTAAAGAGATGACGGATGCTAGTGTGGCTTGCCAACATGAGACCACTTACCTAGCAAGTACAATAAAAAGAGAGATTCTCTCTGAATCACTTACACAAGGAAATGTATTAAGCTTCTATAACACTTGCTCATATCTGAAGCAACAAAAGATGGTCTAAATCTAGAAAGACATAAAAATAAATCTCATTTTCAGACAACCATAGATTCTAAAGATGGGAGGAAACAAACAAACAAAAAAAAAAAAAAAAAAAAAAAAAAAAAGGTTTCAGTAAAAACTGAAAGTTTACCCTATGTGCTGTCTGGACATATGGTGATTTCCTGGATAGAGCAACCTGAAAGTGGAATATTTTGCAGGACAAGAAGATCAATTAGAATACTGCAAAGTGCCTTGATTATATATGTATTATGTATTTTCCAGTAAAAAAAATAACCTGAATGCTGGCAGGACCCCACTCAATGAAATTGACCAGCTTTCTTTCACGAATACGCTGCAAGCTTTCATGAACCTGATCAAGAAAAAAAACAAACATCAGGTTCCGTTGTACTTCAAAAGTTTTACCTTACATTTGGAAAATAGCAATATTTTCAGTTTGTTATTTGAGTTTGAACTATGCAGAAAAAATCTGTTTGCACGGAAAACATTTCTCCATCTGAGCTCATGTCCCATAGAGATTTTTTGTTCCTAGCTGCCTGTGTTATGAAACATGCTTTAGGAGAAGCCTAAGACCTTCAATTAGACTTTCTCAAAGAAAATGCCTCTTGCACCATGCAGCAAAACCTCTACTAGGTTCGATAATTAAATAGAAAAGGATAGTCCCTAAGTCTCAATATATTTCAAAACCATTACATCACACCAATTCTTTCATCACAGCTACTAGTAATGGGTCTTATCTGATCTATGTTCAACATGACATTTATTAAAATGAACAGTTTTATGAACTTGGGGGAAGAGAAAAGACTAAAACTGAGGGGTGTACCCATTCATTTATCCTTAACTGGCACAAAAGGTTCCAGTGGTCCATTCTAAATAAGAACAACGGCATTAATAATACTATAGAACGGATGTATATGCTGCTAAACACTCCACCTAATACTCAGCTAATGTTCGATTAGCCACTTTTTGTTTAGTTTACTGTCTATTACCCCTACATCAATATATCTAATAAACACAGCTTCTAACTTAGAAGTTAGAACTTGTCCTCTTCAACTAAAATAGGTATTCTAGTATGATGTAATCTGGTTACAACAAGAATAAGTACTCATAATAAATTTCTCAAATAACTTGAAGAGAACAAGTTCTTAATCTTATATGAAAAGTAACCACCTAATATAAACAACTACGACAAAATATTGAAGTAATAGCTTTTCGTATTACTTCCTTTGTTCTAAAATTTTATCCCTCTTTCTATAAGTCAAAAACTTATTAAACTTACTAAATTGCCCAAGTCCCATGATTAATTAATGAATACACACCTGATAAAACTTTTCAAACAACTATAAGAACAATTTCATACATTGTTAATGGCACATTAAGAAGATCTGTTATATTACAAAGTAAACTCGTTATAAATAGTCACCACCATGTGTGTGAATTAAGTGAGAGCCATAATGACAGAGTGTGCATATCTGAATGAGCAGGCTTTACAATTTCTCAGGCAACTGAAAAATAATGCATCAGGAAACCTCATAGACTTATAATTACTCAGAAAAAATTACATTATCAGCAACCAAACTTTTATTACCTGGGTTGGGTCCACTTCACCTTGAATGATGTTTAAGATTGATATATACTTTGCTTGACTAGCTTCTTTGGTTCGAGCATAAGAAGAAACCATAATATTCTTAGTCTGCTGAATAAATCACAGTAACAATTAAACCATTTACAAAAAAAAACTTTACATTCGTTGATTATAGTATATTTTAATTTCTTACCAAAACAAAAAAGTTTTTCGAATTAAATTTGCCTGAAACAACTTTTAATAGAATCATTATACAATTGTCAAAACAAAACATGCCTGAAGAAGCCTTCTCATGACATCTAGTACAGTAGTTTTTCGAATTAAATTTGCCTGAAACAAATTAAAAGCAAAGTTAGCCATAAATTGAACAGCCAGAGCTCTTAATCCTAGACTCCATTCAAACTGGTATAAAGCTTTCCATATATATATATATATATATATATATATATATATATATATATATATATATATATATATATATATATATATATATATATTTGTGACATAGATTTCCAGGAAATAAAAACAAAAAACAAAGATCAGGTTCACATATACTTGACATTACCTGGCGCTCAACCGTAAGCGGAGTATATCCAGTCATAAGAAAATGGCATCTGGGTGTAGGAATCAAAGAAGCAAGAAGACCGACCAAATCATTGTTCATATACCCTGGATACCGCAATGTGGTAGTGCTGGCAGACATTACAGTAGATACCAGTGAATTGGTCTGAGCGAAAGTAGGATTTGATAGATGAAGTCGTTCCACTGCAATTCTGTTTAATGCAGTATTATCCAAAACAACAACACAGTCTGCATTGAGTGTCAGACGCTTAAGTGTCAATAAAGAGTTGTACGGCTGCACCACAACATCACTCATCTCCATCTGATTAGGAAACACACTATATGTCTGAACTAGTTTTTTGCTGTAGCGATCATTCAGGGTTTCCAGCAGATACGAACCCATACCTGTTTAAAAAAATAAAAAATAAAATAAAAAAAAAGGTGCGAATGAGTTTAGGTCACACAATGCCATGCACAGCATAAATCTAATTCCAGCCACACTTCATGCAATTTTAAGGCACATCAATGCTCAATACTCCATTGCTTTAAACCTTAATGACCTTATTCCATTCACATTCACAAGTATATATATTTAAAGCTTCAACGCTTTCAGAGGAACCCAGAAAAATATATACAACATCCCCACTTTTATAGCAGCAGGCAGAAGAAAGCAATATATTCTAAAGGTGCACAATTAGAATATTTCTGACCTGACCCTGTTCCTCCAGCAATTGAATGGCATAAAACAAAGCCTTCAAGACTATCACTTCCATCTGCTTCTCTATCAATCATGTCCATGATGTCCTCTTCAACATTCTTTCCCTAAATGTGCAAAAAGTCTACATCAAATGTAGAACCAATCCAATATCAACATACAGGAGACCAATACACTAACCTACATCATTAACATTACTTTGCATATCCCCTCGTTCAATCGAACCAAAAGCGATAATTATTTGCCTCTTGATCACTCAGATTAACCTTTAGTATGTCAACCAGCTAAAAAACATTTATGTTCTGTAATAGAGGCAATCATATATACCACCCTTCACTCGTAAAGATTATATGTAATGGTGTCAGTTTTGACAATTATAGATTCAAGCTTTGATTGAAACACTTTATGTGATTTACAATCTCCCTGAATTAAAGCAAGATGTCCTGTCCCCAACCTAATCCAATTGATCATTGAGCATGTCGGTTTTGTTTACTAAAGACAACAGTATATCCACAAGGCTTTCTTACAAGAAGATAGGACAGGATACTTTAAAAAGACCAGAGAAAAATTTAGCCAAAAAAAATGGATAACCTTAAATAAGTAGCTTGAAATCAATAGTACAGGATGTTTAAAAATGAGATTTACATCAGAGATATACCTGGTGGTATCCACTGGCCCAGTTGTTTCCAGCACCCCCTCCATGATCTGCAACGAAAACATTTTCATGATTGTAGAGATTTCGGTATTCACTATTTTGTATACCATTAATTACTCTAGGCTCCAAATCAATAAGTAATGCCCGTGGTATGTAGTGCTGGTCATCAGCTTGGTAGAAAAACACATCTTTCCTGTCGCCTCCCTGCAGATAATCCATGCAAACAGCACACAATTTTCTTAAATAAACTATACACAAGACACAACAGACTATATAGTCTGATACAGATATAGCAGACCAACAACAATAATTAAGATGGTTGAAACAGATATGTAAAAACATAGACTATATAGTCAGTCAATCAAAGCCTTAATCTCATAAGTGGGGTCGGCTACATGAACCAAAAGTTATCATTCCGTATAAACAATATAGCGATAAAGATAATAAGTTGAGCAGTTCACTGCTTCACCATCATGACGTATACATACACCCAAATATCCAATAAACTTCAACAGTTGGAAATTAACCTGCATACTCTTCCTTGATCAAAAGAGACATCACAAAATACATATGACCTATCACAGAGCACTTCTATGAGCCAAGAATTGGGGCATATCACCAACGGGCTCAAATAATCCCGGCATCCAGTGATACCTTCATATCGTGCAAAAGTCCAAACAGAATATCATATAGTAAGGTTATCCCCCAAAATCACTTGTCAAACTTTGGAGTAGAACATAAACCCAATAAAGTTACATACTAAAGCACTTCACCAAAATTTTCAAAGTAGGACTTAATCACTTACACAAGCCTGACAAAAATAAAAGATATGATAAATTCTATACATGATGAATAACTTATCGATTGGGGAAGCACACACACTGAGTAAAACATGAGAAAGGTTCCAAATTTAAAGACTGCCTAAAGGATATTAATTACCGGAATACTGATTAAAGATACACCAAATCACTAACTTAATTAAACTTCTCATTTCACTTCCAGTATCTATGGCTGTAAATGAACAACCTTCAACACCTTTCATTTTATGGTCAAATAACTAACATCCCGACAAAATTATGCGCTGCTCTAATCCATACACTAATACCAAAGAAATAGCAGCGCCTTTAGCTACACGTAACTATTTGACACACAAATGCTGAAAGCACACTCCAACAAAAATAAAAAAGGGTTCATGCATCCGACCCACTGTATTGGGATTTAGGCTTTGGTGGTTGTTGATGATGATAATAAACATGATAAGCACCAACATAAGCCTATCAAATTCCCAATTACAATACTAAGTTTTTAAATTATACAAACAGGCAATTCCCATAAACCCTAACTTTAGCCAAATATAGAATGATCCATCAACTAAACAGACAGTTTTCACAAATCAAATCACGAATAGCATTCAATTGTTTAATTCAACAACAAAAGAAGAAAAACCAAGGCAAAAAATTAAAATCAACAAAACCCAATAATTTCCTATCATCTCATGAAAAATACAAACATATAAAATCAATTCCTCAATTCAATCAACAAAAACCCTAAAAATAATAGAAAATGGGGAAAAAATGAAAAATGAAATTAAAAAAAAGGGGGAAACCTGAGTAGCGAAATCTTCGAGAATGCCATCTTTACTGATACCGTGTTCAAGACAAAGCTGTTTCCAGAACTCCATGCCAATTTGATTTCCACATTGTCCGACTTGAAGAGTGATGATTTCTCGAGGCATTTTTGGCCGGAAAATATCTAGGGTTTTTTGGGGGGTTTGGTTTAGTGTCTCACTCTCACTTTACTCTCTCTCTCTGGCGCGGAAGAGCTTTTGAAAAGAGAGGGAAACCCAAACAAAATAATGATGAAAGTGATGGGGGTGTGTGAACTTAACATAAACAACAGGGAGTAATCATTGCCAATTTTGTGATTAATCAGCGTTACTGTTACTCAACTAACACAGCCTTGGTTTATTTTTATTGCTTAACATCCTCTGTCATTTACTTAAAATCGTCTCTCAATGTTGAGACGTTGAGTTATGACCTATTCTGATTTATAGAGTTGAGCTGAATTGAAGTGAATAGAGCTGAAATGAATATTTTATAAAATAAGAAAATTTGAAACTGAACTGAAATTAAGCTGAAGAAAACAGGCCCTTAGTTATATATATTATATGTCGTCGGTAATTGTTTTATTTAATCCAATTAATTGGTTTTATTTAAAAAGCTTATATGTGCTCATAATTGGTATTAATTGGTTTTATTTAAAAAGCTTATACATTTAAATGACATTGATTTTACTGATAATTTAAAATTTAATTTATTAAACATTTGACTTGTAATATGCTGTTATGCACCTAAAAAAGGCACATATATATATCACGAGATCCATCCACGTACGATATAGTTGCCTAGCGGCCTAAGCATACCATGTTTTCAAGTCCAAAAGTACAGTAAAGCTAAGGGTGCGTGTTTCCGATCAATAACGGCTGGTAAGAAACATATTATAGCTAGCTTAGCACACATTTAAATAGTAATTGCAAATTCATTTATCATTCTCAAGATTCGGAAAATTGCTAGTAACACAACCAACATCGACTCAAACGTGATACAAGGATGAAATTCTACTCTATTACATAGTTAATCATTAAAGCGTCAAGGAGGACATAAAAGATACATGAACACGAACACTAATTAGGACGAAATCTACCACAGGAAAGCACCCATGGCAAACTTTCTCTTGTGAGCTAAATCACCCGAAATAGGCAGTCCATACTGAGTAAGCAAGCAATCAAGCCTCCATTCAGGCATGGCCTCGTAGTCGGCTCGACTATACTTGGGGTAATGGACTGGCATTTGAAAGAAATGCATCTGCCATTGCTGCCCTCCTTGCTGCCCATTTACACTATTACTATGTTGTTGCCTAGTTCCTACTCGCTCCATATTGTATGTATTTTCTTTCTCCTTACTAGTCTTACACTACTTGATCTCTCTTCTAGTATAGTATAGTTTACATGCATGTAAAATGATCTAGTTTATATAGGCAATTTGTGTATGTTTTTTGTGGACATTATGTTATCTAGCCCTACAATTAATATCTTGTGGAGATACCAAGGCTCGTGATTTTTGGTGTCCATCTGTCCAACTAAATTGAGTGACACACCCCTTGGGGAAGAAATTTATATTTCCTACCTAACTTTTGAAACTTATTTGTATAGAAAGATTTATATTCAGGTTAACAATATTACGGATGTTACTTTATGTGTTGTTATTAGGTAAAGTAAAAGTATAAAACTTTTAATAACACGAATGGCTCGTGGAGTTGAGATAACTTAACGGTTGTATTAAAATAAACTAGACTATAAATCAAGACCAAAATAATGAATAATTTAAGTCTATGGGATGTTCAATTATTAGTTAGCACTCAGCACTGTTTAGAAATTTTGTGGTGCTAAGATGATCTAAACATTGTATTGGTGGTTGAGTAATAGTAGATGTTTAATCTGTCGCTTGGAGTTTGCTATGGTCAGATTGATCACCTATTAGGCCATTATATACTCTTTTTTTTTTCTTTGGTGATTTAGGAAAGTTATAAGATAATCAGATTAATAAATATACAAATGGAAATTCTTTTACCAGTTTATTAATTATTCCTTTCATTCATAATATACGCCATTGAGAGTAATTGACTATAAATCTTCTTTAACTATTAACATTAGATCACCTCCATAGGTCAATTTGAATTTTTAAAACTATATGTAGACTTGTACGTAGTTAATTTTTATTTTTAACCTTTAATAGTGAAACTCAAATGTTCAATTGTCTCCCCTATCTTTATATTTAATTTATATAAGTGTATAAATTAACATTTCATTTCTTCTCAAACGAGAGGTATTTCGATTTTTCTTTATGAAAGGAATACGTATAATAGTGATTTCAACACACTGTGTTAGATAATCATTTTAAGTTTATTACTAGTAACAATTTTCATTGTAATTGAATCATGTAAAAATGCAGTACTCGTCCTCTAATTTGGTGATAGGCCTCATCTTTTGGAGTTGCTCAACCCAATGAGATCATTATTTACTTACATATTATTATTGACCACTAAAATTATTCAATTCCTGTCAAAAAAAAAAAAAATATCATTAGAATTTATGGGGCAAACTAGCAAAGGCTTGGAGAATTGGAGTTGCTCAACCCAAGGAGATCAATATCAATTAAATTTTTTTTTTTTTTTTTTTAAATGTATGAATATGACAGACCACCAATCAATTTTGAGTATGTACGGAGTATAAATTTTTCTCCTTAAAATAATACAGCCCGACATCTAAAATTCCAAACAGCAAAGTCAGCATATGTAGAAAATTACAGGCCACAAAACTTGGTTTGGGGCCTTGATGTTTCATCTTTTAGTTATAACCACCAGTTCACCGTTAAACCTTTCCACATCACTCCCATCATTGCAAGGACTTTTAGCCTATCTTCTACTCAAATGGCCTGTCTAAATTTATACTTCCTATTTTGATTAAACTCTAACCTTATTTGTATACAAATTCTAAACAAAGAAAATTAATTAACTGAGTCTTCGGATTCATAAAAATACAAAATTTTCAAATACTGAGTCGGGAGATGTGGGCCGAAATTTCTAAAAATTTTCAAAAAGCGTGGATATTAGCCTTTAATTTTGGAATTTTTTTACTTTTTTTCGTCCGAAAGTAAAAAGTGCCGAAATGTTTACCATGGTCCCTAACACTTATAACAATATATAATGATCATATATGGTTCCAACGGCATTATATGACCCCGAGATATATCCCCTAGAATTTAAAGACTTTTTGACACCAAGCCCCGAAACCTCTAAAATTTCTCAAAAAATGTGGTTATTTTAGCCTTCAATTTTGGAATTTTTTGACCGGAAATAAAAAATTAACGAAGTGTTTATCATGGTCCCTAATACCCTCTGGAAGTCCAATTGGTTGGGTGGAACCATTCAATTTGCCTTTAAACGACAAAATTACCGATTTACAACTTGCACCGATTTTATTAATTCAAGCCTACCACAAACATTTATGACCACATATAATGATCATACATGGTTCCAAACGGCATTATATGACTCCGAGATGTATCCCCTAAAATATCAAGCCTATTCGGCACCGGGTCCCGAAACCTTCAAAATTTCTCAAAAAGCGTGGATAATTAGCCTTCAATTTTGAAATTTTTTGACTTTTTTTTGCCCGGAAATAAAAATTGCCGAAACGTTTACCATGGTCCCTAATACCCTCGGAGAGTCCAATTGGGTGGTAGGAACTATCCAATTTGCCTTTAAACGGTCAATTTACCGATTTACAACTTGCACCGATTTCATTAATTCAAGCCTACCACAAACCTTTTTTTTTTTTTTTTTTTGAGGGGGAGCCTACCACTAACATTTATGACAACATATAATGATCATATATGGTTTTAAAGGGCATTATATGACCCCGAGATATGTATCTCCCAAAATCTCAAGCCTTTTCGACACCTGGCCCCGAAACCTACAAAATTTCTCAAAAAGCGTGGAAATTAACCTTCAATTTCGGAATTTTTGACTTTTTTCGTCCGGAAATAAAAATTGCCGAAATGTTTACCATGGTCCCTAATACCCTCCGATAGTCCAATTGGGTGGGTGGAACCATCCAATTTGTCTTTAAACGACCATTTTACCGGCTTACAACTTGCGCCGATTTCATTAACTCAAGCCTACCACGAACATTTATAACATATAAGGATCATTTATGGTTCCAATCAAACGGCATTATATGACCCCGAGATGTATTGTATACCCTTAAAATATCATTTCTTTTCGACACCGGGCACCGAAACCTTCGAAATTTCTAAAAAAAGCATGGATATTAGCCTTCATTTTTGGAAATTTTTGACTTTTTTCGCACAGAAATAAAAATTGCCGAAATATTTATCATGGTCCCTAATAACCCCTAGGAGTCCAATTAGGTGGGTGGAACCATCCAATTTGCCTTTAAACGACCAATTTACCGGTTTACAACTTGCACCGATTTCATTAACTCAAACCTACCACGAACATTTATGACAACAAATAATGATCATATATGGTTCCAAACGATATTATATGACCTCGAGATTTATTCCCTAGAATTTCAATACTTTTAGACACCGGGCTTTGAAGACTCCAAATTTCTCAAAAAGCATGGATAACCTTTAATTTTTGAATTTTTTGACTTTTTTTGCCAAAATATTTACCATGGTCCCTAATACTTTCCGGGAGTTCAATTGGGTGGGAGGAACCATCCAATTTTCCTTTAAACGACCAAGTTATCGGTTTACAACTTGCACCGATTTAATTAACTCAAGCCTACCACGAACATTTATGACAACAAATCATGATCATATAGGTTTCAAACGACATTATATGACCCCGAGATGCATTCCCTAGAATTTCAATACTTTTACACACCGGGCCCCGAAGACTCCAAATTTCTCAAAAAGCGTGGATATTCGCCTTCGATTTTTGAAATTTTTGACTTTTTTCGCCCGTAAAGAAAAATTGCCAAAATGTATACTATGCTCCATAATACCCCCTCGGAGTTCAAATGGGTAGGTAGAACCATCCAATTTGCCTTTAAACGACCAATTTACCGATTTAATACTTGCACTGTTTTCATTAATTCAAGTCTACCAAGCCAAGATAATATATGACAACATATAATGATCATATATGGTTCCAAATGACATTATTTGACCCCGAGATGTATCCCCTAAAATCTTAAGGCTTTTCGACAACAGGCCTCGAAACCTCCAAAATTTCTCAAAAAGCGTGGATATCTTCAATTTTAGAATTTTTTGACTTTTTTCGCTCGGAAATTAAAATTGCCAAAATGTTTACCATGGTCCCTAATAC